ATTTACAAACACCATCGAACTTGTTGTTCGCAAGGTAATGACGCCACAAGGGGGAACTATAGGAGGGCGCCACCAAAACACCTTGCCGCTAATCGCGATCTACACCACATGCCTCACACGAGCCGCTCCGGTCCCAAGACTACCTTTAATTCTAGTTCACTGAAGTTTTTACCTTATATGCGAGCAAAGCCGAAGCTACACGCGCAATCATGCTTCGTGAAACAATTCCTGCACGAGCGGGCGTGCGAGGTAAGAACACCCAGCGCGTTCGGCTCGCGCTTCTAGCTTCAACTTTGCTCGTATACATAAGACGAAATTCTCTATGGTGTATATTTTTCGCTTTAAAGGGATACTACAACGAAATTTCGACGCTCATTTTTTGGTCTATATGTGTTCAAAAAAGCACCATCAAATCGAACATACCAATATCTTGTTAAAAAAGTCACGGAAAGGAATTTTAAAACGAATTAAACGATTGGCAAAGACCACCTGGTGGATGTCGCTAACACCTCGCTTGTAATGCCCGTCTGGGAACCTTGGCAGCTAGTGACGGAGGTTGTTTCGCCTCCGGCCACAACGAGAGAAGAGGGGCAGGAGGAACTCCCCTCTTCCCGAGAATGCCTTTTGTGTGTCGCAGAAGTCGCTATTGTCCCCCTACAAGATTATAGAAGATCAACCCGTCATTCAAAATTCGTACAAAAGCAGCCGCTTCGGTGGCTGGAACGACTAGGCAATCCTCTCGACGTCAGCCTCGCCGTAGCTTTGCTCGTCTTGAGACGACCTACGTCACGATTGCGTTGGATGTCACGTGGTCTCCGCTGGGCCTTCTCCGAGCGCTTGCCAGAGTGGGCCATTTATAACGAAAAATATAGCCACTAGGCTCAAAATACAAACGTGCGATTGTCATTTACGGATATTGTGGGTCATATTCAACTTATTTTTGAACACGATGGGAATATTTCAAATTTCGTTGAAGTATCCCTTTAAAATGCGCACTGGCCGCCGGATCGAATTCGCATTTCAAGCGCGCGAAGCAAGTGAACATTTAGCGCTTCTGCGCTATGCGTGCTCAGCTCTGGCCTTGGATAGTTCCGAGGTCCCGAGCCGTCTTTAGCACAGTACGACCTTGCGGCATTACATGATGCTTCCTCTTCGGATCCGAAGATTGGCGGAGCCGCGGAGGAGGCGGAAAGGAAAGCAGATAGGAGTTTGGAAACGTAATCCGCTTAAAAAGGAGGGGGGGGGGGGGGGGGGACGATTTCAGACTTCGGTCAGACATTTGTGGAAGCTACCCTCTGACACTTCTAAAGTAAAGAACACAAAACCAATTTCACCTGCGTATCCTAGCTTTTGTGTAAAAAAAGAGATAAACATTGGCATTTCTGGCACCCTTACACTCACTCCCAGTCTTCAGGGTCACACTTGCTCCCCCTCCTAGTGACATAATTCGGGGTGCCGTATGCTTCTCGCTTGCTCTCTCGGAGAACGCTTACTCTCCCTTTCTCTGCTGACATTAGCGGGCGGTATGCTGCAGCTTTGAGGCGAGCTGGGTCACGTAAGTTTTTCGCTGTACTTCCTTCGGCTGCCACTCGCGGCTGGAGGTGGGGGAAAAAGCTCGACTTTGTGTTTGCGATTATGTGGAAAGATGTTTTCTATATCCTCCGGGACACGATAAACAACGTAAAAATGACGAGATGCAAATTCTTTTAATCTTAAAATCGTTGCACCTCCCGCCCCTTTAAAGCCCCATCAGGTTTTAAATGTAGCGAACGTGCAGCCCTTTGAAGATCGTGGCGACACAACGCACCACAGAGCTAGATTTCAGACGCCGTGCTCTACCCAGCAGTGACGCGCGGCACGTGCCTCGAGCATTTCTACAACAATGAATGGCGACACTTTTCCCACGATAGAAGGGCTTTAATTCCGCTCGGGCTTGGACGCCACGTGTCGTCACGCAATGAAACTAAAGCGAATGTCTCGGATTCCTGGCATTGATTTACTGTTTTTGATGATGTTGAGCAATTTTCTAATTAAAACAATGCCCTTAAACACAATGCTTAAAAAGTTAATAACGCAAAAGTAATTAACACTTTAATTGTTCCGGACTTTAACTTAAATTTTCCTAAATGTACCCTGGCCCAGGATCAAAACGACACAAGTCTTTGTATATATATATATATATATGTATATATACAACCAAAGATTTTTTTAACTTGCATTTTCAATTTGAGGTACTTTTTTATTTTATCTTGGGATATGTTTGGAGCGTTGCTATTATTTTGCTTATAATGTAGAGCAACAATTGTATATGCAGATAATTGGTATACCTATGTGAATATTAGTAGAAAAAATTCCAATGCTAGGTATTTAAAGGGGCACTGACACCCCAAAGGTCGTATTTATTTTTATTGTCTAAAACGATGCAAGTTGCAATCATAGACACGCAAAAAAAACCGCATCGCGAAAAAAAAACTTCCCGCGCGCGCGCGCCTTTTTATTTTTGGCTTTTGATTTTCCCGCCTCTCGCCTCCTCGCTTCTTTTGATCGGTGACGTCAAAAATCAGGAAATTTAGAAGCTTTGTAGGCGACATCTCTATAACATTTAATTACGGCAATCCTAAAACATGTTTTTTAACGCAATTGCGAACGCACTACGGCCCTTCTTTTTGAAATACCAAAAATCGGGAGTTCGTTGTGGTGCCGTCTCCTGGATTTGTATCCTCCAACGGAAAACAGGCGACACCGCTCAAAACCGGTCCGCCGGAACGCCGCCGCTCGCTCCTTTCCTCCTCGCTTTGGGTCGCCATGGCAACAGCAGGGAGTGGTGAAAGAAAGGGGACTCTCAGGTCTCCGCAATTTTTGACGTCAAGGCACCGGCGCCGATCGCGCGGGAACTTCGAATTCGGCATTTGGAAATTGTTTTTTTACTTCACGAATACTGAATTCCCAAATTTCAAATTTTGAGGGTAATGTCCCGGCATCGTTTTCAATCGTTTCGGATAATAAAAAAAACTATGATTTTGATGTGTCAGTGCCCCTTTAAACACCACGAAATAAAAAATAATAGGAATTCGAAATGTAAAAGTAGCCAAATTTATGCTTTTCGAAGCGCTATACTTTAGAAGGAAATAAAATAACGCAACACGCCTCCTTTATGAAAACGTGGTGATATTGTGTAGAATGCTTCGCCTACATAATAACAAAAACAAAGATCTTTTCTTTTAATGCATGTTGAAGTTGCGGAATTTTTTACCTTGACACATGTTTGAAGCGCCATTGATAGTTTAATTCATAAGCTAAAGCATTAGTTTATATATAGATGATATATCCTTTTGAGGAAAGTATATCAGAAAAAACCGAACAGTAAAGCTTAAAAAAGGTACAATATCAATATCAATATTGGGTAAAATGTCAATGTAGCCAATATGTCCGTTTTGAAGCGCTATATTTCAGACGAAGACAAAAAATAATGCAGCATGTCTTTCATTTAAAAACACGACGATGTGGTTTAAAATGCTTCACCTAATTTTTTTTTTTTTTTTAATTCAAAGATGGGTGTTTTTTTTCGCACGTGGAAGTTTCGAAACTTTTGACCTTAGAACATGTTTGAAGTGCTGTAAAAAGTGCCTTTATAAACTACTAGACCAACAAATTATATACAGACGGTACCCCCATGTGAACAATATTGGAAAAAAAAATTAAATGCTATATCTTAAAAAAAAATTATGGAATAATAAGTAAAAAGATTAAACTTAAAATGTCAGAGTCAAAGGTGTTTGTGAATTTATGACTGGCAATATGTAGGGTGTCTAAAATGCGGAGGCTAAAATAAGCAGCTCAAATCGGCGCCTGCAGTTAGCAACGTGAACTTGTCGTCAACGGTGTATTTCAGAGATGGATTTAACATTGTGAAACTACGAGGCGGAACTCCATTTTCGTAAAACAATATGGCGCCAAACTTTTGCCATGGTCAACGGCGGACGGCGATGCAGACGAACGAGTCCAGTGGTGGGGCGCGTTTGGCCCACGTCTCTGGAGCTCAAGATTACATGTTCCGGCAGGAGAAACTTTTTTTTTTCTTTTAATTGCCAGCGATTTTTATTTTTAAGGTCCTATAATCAGCCAGTTTGACTACGCCACCGCTTCCGCCAAGCATCGAGGGAACTTTAGTCTTCCTGCACGTGCGACAACCCCGCTAGGGCACTGCACGCCTGTAGCACAAGATGGCACGAACCCTCGCATGCACTGCCGTCTGCCTCCAGTGAACTAAAGTTATGGCGGCGTCATGCATGCGCAGACAGCTTAGTGAAATCGGTCTGTTCATTATGTGTATACGGAGTTGGTGAGGGGATCGGTCTGTCACATAACTATACTTCACCTCCAAATTTAGCGAGGAAACTGGATTGGCGTCTAAGTGAGAGGGGGTGAATTTTCCCGCTCTTTTTATCAACTGACTGAGCTGGTGTACAAGTCACGTGACGTCAATTCTCAGCTATATTTAGGAGGTGCAACTGAAGTGATGTTTTGGCCACATTACGTGAATTTTCCCGCTAAATTTAGCGGGGAAACTTAGTTGAAGGGTAGGTGTTGTGCCGTCGTTTTCTCCAAAGTGTATAGGGCACGTGACGTCAGTAATGACGACACCTTTCCCCCTAAATTTGGCGGAAAATGCACAGACGAGCGGACGTACGAACAGACACAATTTAGGAATGGCGGGTAGCGCAAAAAAACAACATTTCAAGCTCTAAAAAGGTATAACGTTTTGAGTTGTGGCATTTAGCCAGGTGAAGCTTTAAGCTCAGTGCCACGGCGCAGGAAGTTTTCTTTTTTTAGATTTAAACATATGATCAGTTCCGTCATTCATGGATTGCAGCGATGGCTCTCCTAAGTGCTCTGCGGAAGAGCAGACGCTGCAGAATGTTTAGAGTGTTGGAGGAAGTATAGACACCGCACTGGGTTCAGCTCAAGACAGTGATTTTTTTCAATATCTTTTTTTGCAGACTGTGACTCTGCCTAACATTTTTTACCTCAAGTACCGCTCCTACGAAAATGCTGATGGCCTCGGAGGCACCGGGGAGTGTGTCTCCATACGATTGGTGAACGCAGACCAAGAAACCAAGACCGCGACGAGCACAATCCAATACTGGGACGCTAAGAAGTCATTGTAAGTATACACTTTCCCCTGGCTACCCTTCTTTGTTTCGCCTGATTACAAGGAACTGACTTTATAATTTAGGATAAAAAAGACCGTGCATGTCACGCTGGCTCCTTCAGACGGCAGCACAGGCGGCGACACCATCCAAATGGTTGATACGGAAGGAGTTGACAAATGTAAGCCGGAATTTCTTACTTTATTTAAAATCTAGGTATCCATACCGTACACTCTCAGAAGAAAAAAAAAACGGTATATTCTTGCACACCTTGCCCTATATACGACACCCCAAAACTTCAATTCGACGCACAGAGCGCTGACTTCGAACAGACGGCCTCAAAATTTACGAGGTACTTGAGAACAGTGAGATATACCACATTAAACAGCTAAAGTATGTATCGAAAACTACAGAAAAGAAACACTGAGGTTTTGCAGTAATTCGAAGAAAACCGCGATAACTTTTTGTTTTTTTGTAGTGAATAACACGTACATTAGCTACTTCAATAAGTTTTACCACTCGGCTATCAAGCCGACTGTTAAAGTTGGGAACGACGGCTCGACGTCAGTGTGCTCTACGTCGAACTGAAGTTTTGGCGTTTCGTATTAGCCCCGAGAGCGAACACTAGCGTCGCTGCGGTCGCCGCGCCCTCATTGGGTGAGGTGTACCGTGATGTCAGGGAGAGGACTCCGCTCCGCGGTCTTGCATCGGCTCGCTTCCCAGCACCGGTTTCCTGGTTCGGCGTTGTGTTCCGCAAGCTCTTCGAAGAGCTGGACTTCGTTTACCCGGTGTACAGGACGTTGAGTTAGGCCGATATTGACGTGCTTCCGTACATTTCATAAGCCTGCTTGTCCCTTTTACCTTTAAAATTAGGTTACAAATCCCGAGAGCTATTGGTGGAGGCAATTCCAGCGATGAACCTCCCCGTCCGTCCACACGACACAAGGCAATCTTGCGAGGGGTCGGTGAAGTGGTGGCGCAAGTGTTTCAGACGCTGAAATTCTGTTCCTCGCACGTTCATGATTTAGGACGATATTACATCCCACTTTCAAGGCATTTGAAGTGGCATTTATATCATGGGCCTTTGGGTGGTCGGCAAATTAGCTCGCGACCCCGACTCTGCGCTGTCACTCTGCATGCGCTGGTTCACAGAAAAAATTGCGTTGTGTGTATGTTTATACAGCCTAGAACTTGGTCTGCCTCACATGGGGCGACGAGTCTCCGAGCTGTAGATGAGAAATTGAGCCACTGCGGTACAACCGCTAGCCTGGGGTCTTTAACGTGCATCACGCAGTAGTGATACACGACCGCACGCCGGTACGATGCTCATCCAGATCGAAACGGGCAAGGGTGGGGCTCAAACCCAGGATGCCTGGGTTCTGCAGCGCGAGCTTTCGCTCCACGTGCTCCGAGCTGCTGTGCGCTAGACCACTTGGCCACCGATCCCCCTTGGTTCACAGATCTTTTTGAAGGCCCTGCGTCTGATGATCTTTGAAGTGCTCGTGAAACAGGTTTTTTTACATAAATGTAGCTTCTTCGTGAATTGATTATATAGTTTATACACGTATGAAGGCATATTTCTTAGGAGATGCGCAAGTGGAAATTAGATTGTATGGTAGCAGCAAAAACGGCGGAATCGCCCCCAGTTGCCTGCATGATATGTATTGAACTGCCCAAAATATGCAAAGCAATAGGGCCGTCACTTGAAATGCTTATACTTATTCCTGACATTCTTTATACCAGCCTTGGGTCTTCGGAAATTACACCGTTCTGTCTGAATTGTCATTTCCAATTAAAAGAGACACTGCTGCAGGTCCCCAAAATCTTCCTCAGCCTACAAACTCCCTACAGCTGTACTCTCTGACAACAGAGGAAAACAGGAGTAAAAGCAAGCATTCGAACGCCTGTCCAGTGGTAGGTGCAGCACCCGTTTTCACCTCAAGAACCGCAGTAAAACAAGTCCGACTCCTCGCGGACCATTACTGAGTTCCCCCTTTATGTTGATAATTAAGATATATTCGAGTGATAAGGTAACATAAGAGTGTTATCTTATCAGAACGTAAACATTTCAAACACCAGAAGCAACGCTTTTTTCTTCCACGACCAAAAATCGTAAAAACTACTTCGCCGCGCGTACGAACAATGCGCGAAAATTGTTTTTTTTTTTTTTTTCGAGGTGAAAACGGGTATAGTAGCAGAAAACGTAGAACCTGTGAAGGGCGACAGTCTGCATCAGAAAATGTTCTGGTATTTTAGTCAATTCGATTTAAGTAAAATCTCGATTTTAGGGCTTAAAGGGATACTTCAGCGAAATTTGAAATATTTCCGTCTTGTTCAAAAATAGGCTGAATATGATCCACAATATCCGTAAATGACAATCGCACGTTTATATTTTGAGCCTGGTGGCTGTATTTTTCGTTATAAACGGCCCACTCTGGCAAGCGCTCGGAGAAGGCCCAGCGGAAACCACGTGACATCCAATGCAATCGTGACGTAGGTCGTCTTAGGACGAGCAGAGCTACGGCGAGGATGACGTTGAGAGGATGGCCTAGTCGTTCCAGCCACCGAAGCGGCTGCTTTTGTACAAATTTTGAGTGACGGGTTAATTTTATATAATCTTTTAGGGGGACAATAGCGACTTCTGCGACACACAAAAGGCATTCTTGGGAAGAGGGGACTTTGTCCTGCCCTTCTTCTATCGTCGTGGCCGGAGGCGAGACAACCTCCGTCACTAGCTGTCAAGGTTCCCTAGACGGGCACTACAAACGACGCGTTAGCGACATCCACCAGGTGCTCTTTGCTGATCGTTTAATTTGTTCTAAAGTTCCTTTTTGTGACTTTTTTAACAAGATATTGATATGTTCGATGTGATGACGCTCCTTTGAACACATACAGACCAAACAATGAGCGCCGAAATTTCGTTGTAATATCTTTTTAAGGGACTAATAACGAGGTAGACACCTTCGCTTACTTTTGTTATACATTACTTGAGGGTTGATATAAACAAGTCCACAGATATCACCCGTGTAGTCCATTGAAATAATATCTGAATCCAGCAAAGGTCAAATGCGAGACATGTATATAATAAAGGTTCCTTGTTTTTTGTTTTTTACCTCGCCCCCTGCACTTGGGCTGTTTTACTTGTGATTCTCTCTCCGCGGCCCAGCCTGTATTCAGCATGTTGCTCGAGCAGCATGCAGCTTTCCTGCTTCGGCAATCTTGTTTAAAAAAAAAAAAAAAATAGTATACATAACCGGCCAATTCATTCAGACCATCACCAGCATTTATTGTGCGAGATGTAAATCTATAGTGATTCTCCTGCAATTGTGGCCATTTTTTTTTCGTATACCAGCTGAGATTCATGCGTTGCCTGCCCTGTCAGCCATGCTTAAAATGTTGGTTGAAGTTTTGCCTGTAGCTACAGGCCATATCTCAATAAAGGCAAATATAAAAATTTACACTTCCTGCGAAAAACACGCCGAAAAAAAATATGACAGAAACCAGCGTGCCGACAGCTAGCGTCGCCACAGCCTCCACCAGGCGAGCGGGGCGAGTCGGGGAAAATTTCTCTCCTCGCCGTGACGTCACCCCGGTTCGCCGTAAGGGGGCGCCACACGAACTTCTCGGGGCTAATATCTGACAAGGGGTGTAAGAGTATATATACCCTTTTGTTTTCTGAGAGTCTAGATTTACACAGCACAGTATCTATTGCGGTTTTACGTTCCGCGTAAGATCCCGTTCACACACATGCGTCTGCTTAGGACCGAGTTCTTGTAATATCTTACGACGAGAGAACACACTGGCACGCTGGCGCCATCTATGAGGTAATCCTGCGAACTGAATTTCACTTGATCGAAGGATTTGCGGCATCTGCAACATCAAATGTACGTACTGTGTATCAGAAATGATATTTTATAACATTGTCAAAAGTTTTTCAATTCAAGGCAGAAAGAATCATGTGGGAAACAGAAAAGGAAATATACCGAAAACCGCAAATGTTTTGCAGATGCCGGAAATACGGCACGAGGGTTCCTCGATGCGCGCTCTCCTACCGAGCCCTAATGACCCTGAAGGGACATTAGGAGTCGGGGCTTTACCGACCCCCGGTCCAAGTCCGAGTTTCGCGGCGTTCACATTAGCATTAATAACAGTAATTTTATATAACAGTAATAACATTTAACGGTAATTTCTATAAAACGTTTTTGGCGCATCACGAAAATATAATGTAATTTATTTTCTATCTGCATATCTGTATTTTTCTTTTGTTCCGAAAACAAAACTAGTAACCGACCGGTCGGCGGTTGCATTAGCTGTCAAGTGGCACGAGTCGCCGGCACCCCGATCCTCGGCGCCGACCAACACCCCATAGAAGCTAAGGCCGCAGCGCTCCTTTCGTGACGTCGCAAAGGAAGGCCATCGAGGGCGCGCGCCGAAGCGCCGAAGCGAAGGCAACGGGCGTGGATCGACCGTCGTAACAATACAAGCGTGTCTTATTAGGAAAAACAAAATTGCAAAGAGCAAATGGTCTAGAAAACACTTTATTACATGGGTAAAATATTACACCGCATTATAATCGGTAAGGAGTTGGACGAGGTATGCGTAAAAGACGTCTACCAGAAAAATTTTATGTTATTAAGTCGATAACATTGACTCACGTAAATATTGCTGTGGGAATGCGTATTTTTATACAAAAATTCTTTGACGAAATGGCGAGAACCGCAGTGATTGGACGCAGCAAAACAGATCACGGATAAAAATCCTGTAGACGTACTACACGCGAACACATCTAGGCAGGTGTCACAATCATGTAAGCGATGTTAACGCATCCAGGCACTGAATTCTATCATTATGCCAAGGTCACATTGCAAGATTAATATAGTTTTCATTGAGTACATTTATAGGCTTCGCAAATCAGCTTGCGATTTTCGTACCTTCAATGAGGATTGCGAGGTGACTCAATCCTATAATATAATTTAAGAAAGATATATTATATTTTCTGTTTGGCAGGGATACAAAACTTACTTAATATTTGCAATCAACTAGTCAACATCTCTCAATAAGCTCAAGCTGCCTAAGAACAAAATATAATTTATGCTTGATTCAATATAACTATTACGTTAATACAGCTAGGATTGTAGTCTGAACGCTGTAAAGGCAGTAAAAAATTCAGCAGAGGCACTT